TCGCTGGGACCCCAGTGATGCCACCACGCACGTGCACCGAGCCCCCAGCCTTTGCATTAGGCAGGGAACAAACTACTGAACAAATTTGTGCCCATAACTGGCTCCCTACTTCCCAAGCAGGGCAGATGCCCTGATCCACCATGCAGGCAGGCGTCTTCCTCTGGGACAGGCCAGAGGAAACTGCAGTTTCTCCTGCCTTCTCTCCAGCTGGTGCTCACTATGGGCTGCAGTTTTTACTTGGGGTGAGTGTAAATACACATACACACACACACACCCCCCTCCCGGCACACAACTGAGGGTCAGCCAGTGACCCTGCTCCTTGCAGTCCTGCAGCCCTGAGAACTGACCTCCAGCACTAAGGCTTTTATGGGAATACTTTCATTCTGGTTTTATTGCCAGCACCAGGCAGACTTGTCTGATGCTGCTTGGGAATTAACCCCGCAATACTGTGGAATGGCTGCCGTGACCCTGCTGCCATCCCCAGGGCCCCAGAGAGCACATGGAAACCATCCCCACAGCCCTGACTGCAGCCTCCACACCTGCCCTGGGGAGCTGGCCGAGTGCAGGGACTGGGGACAGCCTCCTACAGCGAGCAGGGATCATTCCTCCCAACGTGCCCATGCAACACCCCGCACCGTCAGGGAACTGATGCAATGCAAATAGCAGCAGCCTGACTCATCCTGCACCGACCTGGCTCCTGCACAGTGTTTGAGGTGGGACAGCCCCATACTTCTTAGAAACACGAAAATAAATCCGGTCCTGCAAATGAGCCACTCCTGCTGCAGCAAAACCTCAGCCCCAAACTGGCCATCCCCTCTCCCACAGGAATCACAGCAGCGTCCACACAGAGGCACCTTAGGAGCACCGGCAGTGTCAGACAGCAACTTTACAGCGATGCAACAAGGTCCCAGCCCTGCTGCAGCCACAGCTCAGCTCTCCAAAGGCAATCCACAGAGCTGTGCTGGAAATCCCCTGCCAGCCCTGCTCTGCCAGCGGCTCAGTGACTCTGCCATGGACAGGGTTCAGGAGGTGGAGGGTGAAATCAAGCAGCATTAGCTACATTCGCCAACATTTCCTCGCCACTGGAGCAGCCCCTCATGGGTGGGCAGCCCCCGCTGCAGCATTCTCACCACGCCAGCTCTGAGTGAGGCAATAGCTGCCTCACAGGCTGCGGAAACCTTTCCCCTGGGCCAACACGCCATGCAAAACCTTCTGACCTATTGCTCAACCAGACACTGTATTAACTCCAAAACATTTGTGCAATGTGGGCCTTCGGGAGCGTGGGGGAGGTACACCGGGCCACAGGGAAGCTCACGGCTGCTTCTCGCTCATGGCCCGTATCTTCACCAGGAGGGCTGAGCTGGCTGCTGCCACCCCGATTGCTGCAGCAAGGGGTTTAGCTTTGCTCGGGGCAGTCTGCTCAAGGAGAAACTGAGACAGCGAGAAAGCACTTCTGCTGCCCTCGTGCAACTCCTTAAGGGAAAACTTTCCACGGGCAAACCCTGGCCTTAGGGAGCACAGGGGTATTCAGGGCCTAAACCCCAAGGCACTGTGGAAGGCTGCTGACAGGCACAGTGAAACATGCTTTACTGGAGGGTGAGCACTGATGGGTACCTGCACAGGCAGCACTGCCAACACAAGCACACCACCAGCCTCCCTGCCTCTGCCTGCTTTCCTTCCATTTGGCAGGACCCAGGCCCTCTCCAGCTGTTGCACCTTTCTGTTCACTTTGGTGCAACATTTACTCTGTGGAGTTACTCGCTTCCTGCATTTCTGTCTTACAGCAAGACTCTACCCCAAACTGCCTCTGAAACACACAGTGCAGTGCTGCTGCCATGCTCAGGACACCTCTTCCCAGCTGCAGGGAGAAAAACAGCCCTGCAGCCTCAGAGTTGGGTGAAAACAACGGTTTGATGCTTCCTTGTAGGGTGGCCTTCCCTGGACGGGTAGCATTGCCACAGCCCCCACGTGACACCGCACACACACATGCTTCCATCGCATAGCAGCCCCTTTCCCACGGCCCATACAGGAGACTTGGATCAGATTCCTGCCTCTGGAAATGCCTTAAAATGTTAGAGTTGAGCTAGCCACATCCTGGAAATCCCCCTATGGGAGGGAACCAGATGGGTTCAAACGAAAGTTCAGCAAGCAAGAAGGGCACAGGGCAGCTGGTGCAGGGGAGAGGCGAGCAAACCCTGGAGAGCAGGCTGGGGCCCTGCAGACACCAGGTGCCTGATCCCTGCTGGGCTGGGAGCAGGGGACTGCGTCCACCACCCGTCACGGGGGAAGGAGAGACAAGAATCCAGCAGCCTCTACCCTGAGAGCGCCACAGCACAGCTTCCCATTTCTTCCTTCCCCCTTTTGAGTATTGCTTTAAAAACAAAAAACCAAAGTCAAGATATCCTGCAGCACTGACTTCTGAAGGAGGGCTCTTCCCCTGCTTGTTCATCCTTTTGTTGTGCAGTGGATGATATTTATTACCTTTTCCATTTATTTCTAGCACAACTGGAAAGGCAAAGAGGAAACTGTTCTCCTCTACCCCCAAAACACACTGGTAGACCCCTCATTCCTCTTCGCAAGCACTCCCACTCAGCCTCCTCACTTCCACATCAAAAAGAGTTTTTCCTACCCCAACCCACCCTCCTTGGTTCCCTTTACGCTGCCTTGTGCTTTTGAGAAGGATGCAGCCACAGTGATCCCCTCCCTGAGAGGGGATCCCCTCCCGCTGAGAGCAGGCACCTGGCTCAAGCAGGAAACAACACAGGTGACAAGTGAGAATGACTTGACCACTGCTGGAGGGTGAAGGACAGCATTTGGAAGGAAACAGCTAGCAACGGATGGGCTCACCAGACTTGTTTTGCAGAGCTCACAGCCGTTCAGCCAGCTCCCGTCGGCCCCAATGTCCAACAGAAACAGCCTCAGGTCATCTCAGCAATTCTTCTGTTTCCCACGGTTGTGCCCTGACATTTTTCAGGAGCCTTCTGCACCCCATTCTCCAGCTCAGCCTGGGAGCTCCCCCTTTCAAGGAGAACAGCAGCGATTCCTCAGCCTGTCAGGGTAGGAAAAGCTGCTCGGAGAGGAGCCAGCCTCCTGCGGGGCTCCACACGAGGCTTTACCAACTGCACAAGGGCAACAGGATAAAGGCAGGGCAACCCCGCTGCAGTACAGGGAACTTTCAACGGGGCACCTGTGTGTGACCTCCTTAACTCAGTAAGCCGACAAGAAGTTCTAACCTATTTTAGAAGGATAAGAAACACAACGCAGACACACAGCAATCATGACAGGTCCTCCCTGCCGATGTGCCCCGAGGAAGTGGTAAGCCACAGGATGCGTCTTGAAAATTCCACAATAACAGCACAGCAAGAGCCTGCCCCAGTGCAGCAGCCTGCAGCGTGCAGATAGGCAACTCCTCTGACTCAGTGCGAGGGGGGGGAATATGCAGCAGTGACAGTTCCGACCAGCATTCCCCACATTTCCCAAGCTCCTGAGCAGCACAGTGAACAGGCCCACCGGGATGCAGGGCACACAAGAAAGCACTACTCGAACACACAGGATGCTCCAGGGGCAGGAGGTGTGTAGGTTCACTCACGCAGAAGCCTTGTGTGAGAGAATTCAGAGAAACAGTGGCTGGATTCCCGCTGGGTTTTCTGGGTAGCATGGCAGCATATGCAGCAGCAGTTTGTGGGAAAAATTTTGACCAGATTTGTTAGGGACTGACCTTCCCAAATTGGTCTGTGCACCACCAGGACTGTCACTGCAATAGAAAAGTTAACATCACAACCAAACTAAGTCACAACCAGCTCTTCCCTTCCTGGTTATGGTAACAAACCTCTGCTTCTGCACAGATTCTTTTAGTTCTATCAGTCCAGCTTTGATGGAAATAAACATTCCCCCCCACATCTACACATCCTGCAAAACTAAAGTTATCTATTAAAGTATTTTACTGGAAGACCAGCCTTAAAATCCTGCAGCATTTTTCAACTACAGACCCCACTACGAACAGAAGAGTCTTCACCTGGTTAAAGGTCTGATCAAATCTATGACATCATTTAATTCTGGCCTCCCCCCCCCCCAAGATCTTAGCCATCATACATGTACAGAGCCACACAAGCTTACTGTCACTTCAGATGAAATCCTCAGGAGGGTTCCTCTCCCACAGCCAATAAATGACCTTTCTGACTGAGGTTTTCAGATTTATTTTTTTGAAACAAAGCACTATCTCCAGGAGCACCTGCTTCCCTTGTTTTTGATTAACTAGAAATAGCCACTGCTCTGTATTAAATTAAAAGCACAAATTTGAATAGAGGCCATAAAGTTATTTAACAATTCAGATAAGAATATGCTGTACTGCAGTATAGCAGGTGGGAGGGGAAGATTCTTATACAGAAATGTGAGCATTGATATTCCTACTGCATTTTCTTCCCAGTTCATAACAAAGCTTTAGAGCAAAGTCTTGACATGTTACAGTTAGCATATTATCATGCTCAACATCTGGCACAGATGTGCTACATAACTGGATAAAATACACATTTCCAGACTGTACTGCAGAACTGGCCGTTAAAACTGAAGCACAGCCCGCATTATTTATTCCAGACTAATTAGGAGTGTACTATTCTTCAGCACCTGAGACATCCCAACACCACTGCGGTTCTCATACTGCAGTTAGAGCCACATGCCAGCACAACTGCCGCCTCATTGCACCTCGACTGCCAGTGCATCCCCTGTGCAGTGAGCTAACTTCAGTAATGCTGAATAAACAGTGAACACTGGACATGCTATTACCTGCTACAGCAGTTTGGAGCAATTTGGGTTTTTTTTGACCTGTCACACAGCATCAATTAACAAGCCTGTCAATATCCAGCCATCAGCCTGCATATGGAGATCCAAGATTGTCAGAAGAACCCCAGGGAGGAAGGATAATTTCTCTGACTTTCCTGGAAAGCCAGCCAAAATGTTGAATGGTCTTCCAAAAAGCCACCAGAGACCAAGTAATTCAACTCAGCAGTTTTTATTTCTATAACACAAGTTCTTACTTTGCCATGGCTTTCACATGGCTGCCTCCATTCAGTACATAAAATATATACTGCATAATGATACAGAAAGTTCAGTAAAATGTCAGCTTGTGAGTATAAAATGTTAATCTTCTGATTGCAAGAGAAGCATATATCAACGTTCCACCAGAAAAACAAAACACACCACGCCAAGTAACACAATGGCTGAGTCGAGAATAGTACTAATTAAAAACAGCATCAAGCAGCAAGTTGCTGGACAATAACATTAAAAACCATTTTTCCTGTAATTTACAAATATGCAAAGTATCAGGTTACTTAAAATTAAGAAGCATTTTGCTTACTAACATGAAACATTACTAATTTGTAATGTATCATAATTAACCAGGTATACAGGTTTCTGTGTCCCTGTGGTTTCTATGGCACATGGTGCCAGTCTGGGCAGGTCACGCTTTGGACAGTCAGAGGGAAGAACAGTAATAGGCAGAACCATTCCTGAAGAGGGTTCTCAGAAACAGCTGTATTCCACTCTCCCCTTCATAATTTGCCACTCAACAACCTTGGTTTAACCACAAGATGGACATATTTTAAAAAACATAACAAAAAACACAGATACAATGTGTATCAACAAATTAACTGCTTCTGGCCTGCAAGTGCAAGAAACATCTCTGCATTCTAAGCACAATGAAATTTCAGGACCAGAACCAATTACTACAGCAATTGGTTTTGCATATTTAAAATCTGTTACAGTATCTACAGTAAAAAACATCTTACAGAGTAAGAGGGAACGAAAGGGGAACAGTCTTACCAAATAAGTCTTATTCTCTATTTTTGGATGCTGCTATAGTTTGACAAAGCTGAAGGGGACAGGAAAACTTTCATAAGAAGGAAGATGAAGCAACAGCTTTACAGAGAAAAATATTAAAGAATCCTCAGGAATAGTACTGGCAGCAGTCCAGACATGACTACAGCTGTTTTACTGAATGCTCAAGACTATTGCTGTATGAAGACAAAAGGCACATCATAAATCCTCCTTGTCAGTGTTTTACAGAGATAGCCTAAGACAGGTTACCAGCCAGGTCAATGTTTTAGAGCAGCATCAACAGCATGGTCATCCGTGTGTTCTGACAACTGCATTTTTCAGCAAATGCCAAACACACAACTTGCGTGTAACTTTGGGGCACTGTCAGGCCTCTCATCCTGAGAAAGGATTGCACTTCTAGCTCCTCTTATTTCTGGGAGCTGAGCAGCTTGCTAAGCACTAAAAACCAAATTAAAGTCAGCTAAACCTAGCTTCATACTAGATTTATAATCCAACATTTTCCACAGATCTGCATGGTGGGATTTAGTAAAGAGGCTTAGTTAAGAGCTAAGAACAGCCTTGACAATGCATTTCAGTCTTCACAAATAAGCCTCACACCACTGCAAAGGTAGTACCCCCTTATCTTTCACAAGCCCCCCCAGAGTCCTCCCTCCCCGTGCTCGATAATACACTAAGCCATCTCAAAACTGAAGCTAATGGGAGGAGTAAGGTCACATTCAGTTCTGAACAACTGCAGGAATTTAGGGTGTGCCTGACTCACCATGCAACCCCAAAGGAAAAATCCTGCTCTGAAGCTGCAGCCTCTTCTGTTCAGCACCCAGAGCCTCTTCAACATTCTCTGGGGCAGATGGGACCCTAGGCTGTCTCTAAGAGGGGCACAGTGTCATGTCTAGACCAGAATTTGCTGTGAGCATACCACATCTGGTATCCAGCCTCCAACTGGAGCCTGGTACTTCCAAGGAGTAAGGAGGAGCCCTCAGAAGGCATCTATGGCAGCTACAGAGTGCAAACACTGCCCCTCGAGCTTCTCATATGCCTGGCTGTCCTCGGCATCTGCCTCATATACCTGGGTTCTGAGACTTGTACGTTAGTATCTCTGCAGCTAGCCTTTGGGGATCCAGAAGCCGAGGGAAACGGCTCATCACAGCATCAACTAAATGGGGATGGAATATGCCACACAGCTTGACGTGCACATTGGCCCGCTCCTCTGCAAACTGGTCAGAGACAGCCCACTGGCAGGAATCCCCATATGTTGGCCCTGGGGCCCTCTGTACTGAACGAGGATCTCGCACACTGGTAGATCTCACTTGAGGAGGTGGCATCTGGTACGGTTCAGACCAGTACTCGCGAGAATGGGGTGGAGGGGCATTATACTCATTGGGCAGACTGTATTGCCCAGCATTAGCTGGGTGTACAGGTACTCCATAGCCTGAGAAAGAGTGAGGTGGTCCCGAGTGAGATATCTCAGGGCTATACTGCAAGAAGCTAGCACCAGAGGAAGAAGATTTGTGGGAACCATGCTTGTAAGAGACCAGACCATTTTGCTCTAAGCTGGGAGAATGTGGGTAGACAGGTCTCTGCCTACCGCAGGTGCAGACTGCCACCTGATCAGCATGGGAATGATCACAGTGACTGGTAGATCTGTAAGGCCACATGTCAGACAGTTGGTTCTCCAAAGACCCAATGCCTGAGTCGAGATGCTCCTGAGACACATAAGACAGAGAGTCCATATGAGGCTGCTGGTACCTGTCAGAGGACCTGTGGCTCCCACTGTTAGGAGGGACACTGCCTGACACACAGCCTTTGACCTGAAGCGGAACATCACTGGGCTTTGCTTTTTGGGTCAAGCTTTTCCTCTCTGCAGAGACCTTCTGCAAAGAGCTCTTATCACTCTCTGTGGGCACAGAGCACAAGAGCTCTGCCTGGGAACCTCTTTTGCCCTTTTTCTCCTCCTTGGCACTGGTACTTCTGGTAGGAGACAACCTTGCATTGGCTCGGAGTTCATCAGCTAATGAGCGCTGGGGCTGATTGATCCTTTCAGGGTGGTAGAATTTACACTTAATTCCATAAGTGCATTTCTTCCCTGCAAGGAAAGGCAGAGCATGGAATGAGCATGGAATGACCAGCTGAATTTTACCAAATGCATGAATTACACTTGCATAGAAACCTCAGTCTTCATGTTTAAAAGGCAGGTCTTACCATAAGGGCACTGTTGTTTCTTGTGTTCTGGCACCACAGGTTTCTTTCTTAGAAAGTTATCCAGGCTGGGGCCATGTCGCCCTAAGGGATCATCTGGAGGCATAAACCTGAAGAAAAATAAATCTCAGTCAGGAGCAGTTCATTTGCTTGGGTCAGTGTTTCATTTCTTCTAGAAGTCCCCCATTTCATCAAAGGTTAAAAGCTATCTGAGCCCTAAAAAGCTTTCCCATTTCACTGCAGCGACAACTCTCCTGTCACCTAGTACAGACTGGCATGAAGTGCTTCACTTCAGGCACATAAGAGGTTTTGTGCTCTGCTGCTGACCAGAATTAGTACTTGCTGCTGGGCCTGTTAGTGATTGTCCTGTGAGGAAATCCAAGTCCTGGAGCTCTCCTAGGAACTCCACTATGGCAGAACTCCTAGCTCCAAACCATGAATGGCTATTGAGATGACTCCAATTCCCAGTGCTTTTGTGCCTCACCACAGTTGGGCAGTTCTTCTCACCACACTTCCTTCTACCAAAAAATATCTCTACAGGACTTTTTTTTCTACTCTGTACTAGCATTTTGCTCTTTTCATGCATCACTTGCCATTGCTTCATTAAAACAAGACAGCATGCTCACGCGGATCTTTTTTAAAAGCAAAGAATGGGAACATACTTGTCGTTAACAAAGGAATACATCAGCAGGCGCTCCTCAATGAATTTCTTCCACTCAGGACGCTCGTTCTGCAGGTCCCGATAAGTATCATTAGAAACCACAATGCCATCAGACTCATGTGCCAGTTTCACAATGAATCGATCATCGTAACAGACAACACGCTTGCCTCCAACCCGCCTGGAAGGAGTGAAGACCAGAATTTTCTTCTTTTCAAGGTCACGGAGAATGTACTGGTCTAGAACAAACACAACTGTGAACACACTTACACAGCCTAAAGGCCTTCACACAGATAAAGTAACATTACAAATAAACGACAAAATTCATGTAAAGTCATTTCATCTCTCCACAACCCAGCCTGTATTCTTGTCTCTTCTCTTATACCATCCATCAGGCTGTCAGAGGTGGATTCCTAGCCACGGTACCTGCATGGCGCCCAAGAATACTCAGAGCACACCACAGAGGCTGCTGTAATACAGCAAGTCCCATCCACATAATCCTTTGCACACATCAAAGTGTGATTTGCATTTAAGACTGGCAGACTAGTATCTTTTGTAGTGCCATACTACATGCATAGATTTCTGAGTAGAGTTACTTAGAAATCTCAGCTGTTTGCAAGTTCAGAGCAAACTCCCCTCAATTTGAGTAACTTGACTAAACTCGCAACAAGCTTTAACTTTTAGCATGTAGAAATTCTGCACAGTCTACAGTGTCAGATATGTTACAGTCAAATACATGGCATGAAGATGTGTCCCTGAGAGAGGAAAAAACCCACAAATAATAAAAGACAAGTTAGGAAGCAGAATAGTATTACATTCTTGGTTATCTGAATTATTCCAGCTGATCCAGGCAAGAACTCGCTTAGGGGAGAAGTTAATGACTAATTCTCACTGGTCAGCTCAGCTTACTGGATCTCCTACTACTTAGATCTTCCATTCATAAGTTAATTACTAACTAGCCAGAACTTTGCAAGCTCATTAAATGACAAAGCAGTAAGCCTGAAAAGCTACTTTTGGTTTTCATATTTCCACACCTGTTATAAGTACATCTGGTCGTGGCTGCTCTTTCCTCCAAGATGGCACAAATACTGTAATGTCCTTGTGTCCTCTGTCCCAAAACCACTGGACAGCCAGAAGGATACCTCGGCAGGAGAACACTTCTTTATTTCCATGGCTGCATCAAAGAAGAAAATTGAGAATTTCAGTATTCACGTTATGTACAGACTAGTCAAGCAATACACACTAAGTAAACGGATCCAGCAATTGAGACAACCTTTAGTGAAGAAGCATAGGAGTAGCACAATCAGTATTCGTTGCTCATCTCCTGTAAACAGCAGCACCAAGATGTTGACAGAATTACTGTTGCTTTTAGCACCTCAGTATACCAATAAATAGACAAATCCTCAGTGGCAGGGAGAAAGCAGCCGTAACTGTTGCAGCTGCTCTGAAACAGAGCCTTCGCTTCAACTCTGGACTCTAGATCTTTATTTTTAGCCCTGAGTACAATGTGATCTTGAGCACCCTTTGTCCTATTCTGCCAGCTAGCACCAGTGGCTAATCTCTGCCAGTGTAAACCGTACCCTCACTAGGTGTTTTGCTTGTAAAGTTCAGGAAAACAAGACATTTTATGTACTCGGGGACATCAGCACTGAGGAAAGATGCTTCTTCATTATGTCACAACCCAAAAAGTCAGTTACAAATGTGCTATTTGCATGAAATAGCAACATCTCCTGATAACAGGATCAGTGCTGAATGTCTTAAGCACTGGCAGTTTGAGAACAAAGTTTGACAACAGCGTCAGAAGCTACGTACCAATGCAAAAAGCTGCTGCTTAATTATTCATTAGGTCACATCAATAAGTTTCCAGAACTTCTAAGAGGAAACTACCACTCCTGTTTTACGAGTGCCAGTATTTACAGTGTAATCAGCTCTTCTGTTGATAAAGGTTCTGGCAAGCTTTCAACATTTCTGTATCACAGCCCAATTTGTCATTCTGGGGATCTAACAGTCTGTGTTTCAGGATGACACTCTGGTAAGATGTACTATACTGAAGGTAACTAGTCTCATACTTCAGTAAGATTTTCCCCACCTGGACACTACCCCTGCCCCAAGTCTTACTCTTGCCATCTACATTTGAATGACATTTCAACTCCCACCACCACTTAGCATGCTAGTGAACTCCTCCATAAAGTAGTTACTAAAGAGCTTACATGTCAGCAGAGGCTTTGCTAAGAAGCACTATTCCTGTAGTACAACCGTACCACTAGAAAGAAACTTTTTCTCCTCCTGTCCTCACCCTTCTCTGAAGCTACCAAGAATACTGAAGAGTTGGACCAAAATAATTATTCTATAAGAACTATACATTTAACACCAAAACTAACACCTAAAGAGACACCTAACATCTTCATTAAGAATCCCAAATTACAGAAAGGCTGACATTAACAATCAGAAGAAAGATACTCTAAAAATTTCCTCCGATGTCAGACTGGTTTTGCTATAGATAGCCAGACGCAGGTTACTGTAGTTTTTTAGAGATAAATGAGAAAAGCAGATTTTTTTTTTTGAGTCCCTGCTACCAATCTCAAATCTGTACAAGGTAGCTAATTGGGCTGATCTGATTTAGCAGCAGCCAAGAAAAAATTCCCTTAGAAGGAAGTAAAAGCTAATTTCCACTATGATTTGCATATGTTTGTCAAGAGCTGTTCAGGGAGGCCGCTGTACACACTGCAAATGAATCAGCAGGGAACATCACACCATCAATACAGGAAGTTTCAGAATGGAATTCCCCTTCTAGCAAATTGCTTAAAAAAGCCAGACTGCTTTTCTCATGTCAAACTCCGTCCTATCGGCAATGTTATTACCGCCTGGCCGGCCCTGAGTCACATTTACTGTGATCTCTCCTGCGCTTTTTGGGATAATTTTCATCGGTAAGAGGTTCCTCATTCAAAAAACACAACCAATTCTGTTGTTTAAGCCCGAGCACTTATGTAAGGTAAACTTCACTGCAAGAGTCACTCTTATCCGCCCAGGTATCACAATGGGCCATTTTCCTCAAGTGACTGCACAGCTGCTGGAGAGCCACAGCCACAGGACTGTGCTCTCCTGCAGACGCCCAGGTCACGTCTTTTACTCTCTGGCCCTGCTCGATTACCACTGGAATTCCTTATTTGCCCTGGGACTCGCAGGCTCTGTTTGTCGGTCGCACAGCAGACAGTACTCCCTCTTTTCTCAGTCCTGTTCTCAGAACTGTCAACCACGGCTTAGAGAAAGCCACACCTGCAAACATATCTCCACTCAGCACTTTCACCTTAGACAAAGTCTACAGTAATGCACGCAGCAGCTCTGTGTGCACCCTGTTAGTGGTTGGTTTGGTTTTTGTTTTATAAACAGGTCTGTGTACACAAACACACATTACAAGATCTATTAAGCTAAAACACAGTGAAGGAGGCTTGCTTTCAAACTGCAACAAAGCCCAATTCAGAAGCCTCATGCACTAAATTAACAGAGCCCAGAGCCCGCTGTGTAGAGGTGGGGAATGCAGGACCAGGGGTTGGGGCAGGCAACACTCACCATCGTGGGGAACAAAAGCCAAGGTGAAAGCAGGGACATCAGGCCAATAAATATCCAGCCCAGAGATTCTGAGTGGTCCATGGGTACTGGGGCTCCTGCGCTCCCAAGTTAGTGTTCCAACCCAAGCGACTTCACAGGCTGCCTCTGGTTGCAGAACCTGACAGGACCTGCACCATCAGCACCAGAACACCCGAGATGCTGAGGGTGAGTCGCAGCCCTGCCTTGGTGACACCATATAGTAGAGTGTCCCTTTGGCATCCCATCCATTCTCTACACTGTCTGGAAATTTAACCAAGATACAAGAGTCACAATTTGGAGACTGGTCTCCAGTGCAGGAGACAGCTCCATATTACAAAGCCTTCTCTAATTAAACCTGTAATTATTTATTGAGCAACTTCCTGCTAGAGAAACTTACATAAAGCCATTAGGTAAGAGAACAACGTATCTTCAGTTATCTTCCTCATACGCTAGAAAACAGAAGGAAGTGTCTTTATTTCCCAGGAAGCACGCCCGCTCTTGTCAGAACCCTGTGACCACTGGTTACGGGCTGGCAAAGACCATGGGCAGGAGAGGCCGTCAAGGCAGACTGCATCTGCAAACATGATGCTCATCCTCGTGAGAGCTACGCGTACTGGTGAGGTGCCGTGGAAAATATTACCAGCCACTACCAGGGTATCCAGCAGTAGCTGTCTGCAGTGAGAAACCCCCAGAGGTTTTCAGACTCCAAGCTTTTAGCACTCGGCACACCTCACGGCTAGAGGTCACACAAAAGCACCACCTCACCAGGCTACCGCAGCAAGGACCAACAGCCCCGGAGAGACCGCCGTGCCCACCCAGAAACCCCAAACGCACCTCATGGCCACGTTGCTGCCATCGATAACGATGGGCTTCAGGTTCTCGCTCTCTGTCTCCTCCGGGGCCGGCACGGGCGCGGGGGTCTTGTTCGCGGCCCCCCCCCGCGGGACCAGCGGGGCCTCCTTGGTCTCCGGCGGGGCCTCGGTGCTCTCCCGCTCGGCCGGGCCGTGCTTCACCAGCTCCCCCAGCACGGTGTTGGTGTCGGCGTTCAGGCCGAGCTTCTGCAGCACGACGTGGATCTCCTCCGAGGAGTAGCCCAGCTTGCGGAAGAAGTCCACCTTCAGCTGCATCTCGGCGCTGTCGCAGGGCTCCCGCCCGGGGCTCCGCACCTCCTCGGGCGGCTCCGCGCCGGGCAGGCCGCCCGGGCCGA